GCTGTAACACGCCCATAACGTGTATCCTTTAATCACAAGACGTCACTGTTGCTGCTTACCTAAATTAAAAATTCTGACAGTAAGAAACCATCTAGGATGACTCTAGATTTTCAAAGTATGTGCTTGAGGTAGCACACAACTTCCAATTTGGCTGCCTTAATTAAATTCTTATTTTTTTCCTAGCCAAATTAATGGGTACTTTTGTGTGATGATAAAGGCAGTGCTTTTGTCTTTTATCTTTCTGTGTTTATTAATGTCCCCTTTTAAGATGTAATACATTTCACATTTGCAGAAATTTGTATTTCATGTAAAAGTGTATTTTATATAGCCAAATAAATATTGCCCCATTCCCTATTCAGCATTTAGCTTTAAAGATTGGTTTAATCAATAAAGTAAAATCACTGGTATGTCTTGTAGATAATACTCATAAATTGTAAATAAGCAAATAAAGAAGGATGGTATTCAGAGCTCAAATTTAAGTGTGTATTTCACTTAGTGGATTATCTAGGGGTGTTCCTCCTGAAATCAGAATATTATACAGGAAAGGGCATGTGGGGGTAAAAATGGTAAGGATGGCCTGGGAGGAGCACACTTATCTGGGAAGCTGAGGAACATACAAATTAGACAGGCATCTGTTTAAAGACACTAGTAATACAACAGTGTCTTTGTATCCAATACAATTTCTAATGCAAATTACAGATGAACTGTGAAGAAGTCTAGGATAAAACCCAGAGGTAAAATTTTCAGACTGTCTAATGGAGGGGTTAAAAATAGGCTCCTGGCCAATAATAAATAATAATAAATAATTCATAATTAACCATTGTGACGGGTTGGATCACAGAAACCCCCTTGGGAGCTGCCACCTGATGTGCCAAGACTACCCCTGCTCCTGTTTTCCCTGCCAGCTTAGGACTCCAGCACCCTGTCTTGCTGAGCCAGACACTCCCATCTGGCTTCAACACAGAACCAGGGTCTGAATCACTTGCCCCAAAGCTGCAAGTTTACCTGAAAACAGCTCACAGAAGTGTGTTTGTCTCTAGCACTCAGATGCCCAACTCCCAATGGGGCCTAAACCCAGATAAATCCGTTTTACCCTGCATAAAGCTTATGCAGGGCAAACTCATAAATTCTTCGCCCTCTATAACACTGATAGAGAAATATGCACAGTTGTTTGCTCCCCCAGGTATTAATACATACTCTGAGTAAATTACTAAATAAAAAGTGATTTTATTAAATACAGACAGTAGGATCTAAGTGGTTCCAAGTAGTAACAGAACAAAGTAAGTCACCAAGCAAAATAAAATAAAATGCACAAATCTATGCCTAATCAAACTGAATACAGATAATCTCACCCTCAGAGATGCTTCGGTACGTTTTTTTCTCAGACTGGACACCTTCCAAGCCTGGGCACAATTCTTTCCTCTGGTACAGCTCTTGTTGCAGCTCAGGTGATAGCTACGGGATTCTTCATGATGGCTCCTCTCTTGTGGGTGGTACATTTCTACAAATAGGATGATCACACTCAGTAGATTATGAGTTTTGTAATGATACCTTACAAGAGACCTTTTGCATGAAGCATATCCCAGTTACGTTATATTCACTTATTACCATATTTTTTCTAAAACTATCCCAGTTACATTATATTCACCTATTATCATGTTTTTATAAAACCATATAGACTGCACAACGTTACAACCATTAAAATTGTACATTTATATATCCTAATGCTAGAAGTTTACAAATAAAAATGTGAACTATCACGCCTTGAAAAGTTCAAGGACCTTGATAAATTATGCATTACATAAACTGGGTGGAACGACTAAAAACAATGAGATACTATAATTACTAGTTAAAAACTATAGAAGAAAGAGATTAGGCCAAAGAGGTTGTGGAGAAGCTCAGTAAAGCATACCAAAGAATTCATCAAGATTAATTTTCTGAGTGGAGAAGACTATATAGATGAATCTCTATGGATAGAAATTACAAGCTGAAAAAATATAAATATATTAGATGAGCTATAGTACTGGCCTTCAGAACAAGGTAAGGGGGAAAAAGACACAGAGAGAGAGAGTACAATGTAAGGACCAATCAAAGAGAAAGCAAAATCCAATAGACTCTAGAACACAGAAGAAGAGAGATGTTTCTAGACACTGGCCAGGTCTACACTAGAAACTTTTACCAGTGTAATAATGTTAGTTAGAGATGAAGGGACTCTGCATATCTACTCTCCTGCCTCCAATTGTCTCATAGTCTCTTCACAGACCCACTGCCTTCCCTTCTTCTTGTGGTACCTCCAAGCTTACCATGGGCTTGGATGAACTAAGATAAGGTGGGACCAGGTAGCTGAGTAATGAAGAGATGTGCCCAGATGTAAAACAGAGATTTATGTAGTATTTGTGATACAAATTCAGGGATATTTGTTCAAGGGGTTCTTAAAATACTTCTTCCCCCAAAATAAGCTGATTATTATTTTCAAAGTATTCTGAAATGCACGTGCATACAAAAATGCTTTTAAAAGTAATGAATTGTAAAATGCATGAGGTAGACTTTGTAGTGAAATTTTAGAGAGTTTTGCACAGGGTGCTCCTCAGATACAGCACCACAAGTAAGGTTTCAGAGTGGTAGCCACTCTGTCTGTATCAGCAAAAACAACGAGGAGTCCTTGTGGCATCTTAGAGACTAACACATTTATTTGGGCTTAAGCTTTCGTGGGCTAGAACACACTTCATCAGATGCATGAAGTGAAAAATACAGGAGCAGATATAAATACATGAAAGGATGGGGGTTGCTTTACCAAGTGCCACTTTTAGGTCTGTTATTTGCTTCAGGTAACCTGCTTGCCTTCAGCTTTCATCCAGACCACATCACATGATCCATTGTCTACCGCCAAGCTCTAACATACAACCGCATTTGCTCCAATCCCTCAGACAGAGATAAATACTTACAGAATCTCTATCAAGTGTTCTTAAAACTGCAATACCCACCTGTGAAGTGAAGAAACAGATTGACAGAGCCAGAAGGGTACCGAGAAGTCAGCTACTATAAGACAGGCCCAACAAAGAAAGTAACAGAACGCCACTAGCAGTCACCTACAGCCCCCAACTAAAACCTCTCCTGAGGGACGATCCCTCACTCTCACAGACCTTGCGAGATAGGTCAGTCCTCGCCTACAGACAGCCCCTCAACCTGAAACAAATACTCCCCAGCAACACCACACCATACAACAAAAACACCAACCCAGGAACCAAAGCCTGCTACAAACCCTGGTAACAACTCTGTCCACATATCTATTCAAGGGACACCATCATAGGACCTTACCACATCAGCCACACCATCTGGGGCTTGTTCACCTACCAATGTGATATATGCCATCCTGTGCCAGCAAAGCCCCTCTGCCATGTACATTGGCCAAACAGGACAGTCTCTACACAAATGGACACAAATCTGACATCAGGAATCATAACATTCAAAAACCAGTAGGAGAACACTTCAATCTCTCT